TAAAGACACACACTAAGTTAGACATCATATGCTAAGAACAGTTGGGAGGGGGAGCTCCTCTAACTTCCTACCACATGCCCTCTTCAGATCAGAGCTAGGATACCAAAAGGCTTTGCATTTAAGATTCCTGGAGGCTTTTTAACATGTGTATGCATGCGCACACAAAACATAGTTAATTATGAAACACTTAAAAACAGAACTGTTATAGTATATGCATTTTCTCCCTTTCTGCTGCTTGCTATGGCCACAGTTTTACTATGTGGCAATGAGGGGATTTCCAGAGGTGGCTGTCTAGACAGGGAGATGAGCTCCCCCAGAATAAGCACTGGGAAGTGAACACCCTCCTGAATGTCCCAGGAATCAAATGCTTTTCAGGCCTTGATCAGGAAACAGTTCTGCACATGGCAGCAAGTTACAGAGGTACAAACTGGAAAATACTCTTTGCAGTCTCACTTTAGCCTGCCGTGAAAAGGAAAAAAAAAAATAATCAAAAAACCATCAGAATAAAAACCTGTTAGAAACCTCCTCAGGCAAGGAATATGGCAAGGACTAAAAGCTTTGATGGCATTTAGACTCCTGGCAACACAAATCTTTTCTAAAATAAAGCAGTCTCTAGAATAGATAGCCAGATCAGACAATGACAGATCAGTAGTTATAAGTTCATGATCTTTCAGATGAGACATAAAACTGGGGTCCTGACCTTGTATGATCATTAAAGATCTCATAACGCTTTTTGCGAAAAGAGGGTTGTTAATCCCACTGGTCTGGAAACAATCCAATTTAGATAACTACCTCAATCAATCTTACAGATTCATCTAAATACAGTACCCTCCTCTGCTCCCCAGGCTAAAATACTGCATGGTATTTCTCTGGGCTGTAAAACGTGACGAACCGAGTCCTCCCCATCTCAGCGCTGGGTGAAGCGATCTTTGTGCATGCACTCCTACAAGGGGGCTAGGAACATTAATATTTCACAGGAACTTGGAGAGGCACAGAGCAACAGATGAGAGATTTATTATGGACTCTAATGTAGCAAGGGCTTCATGAAGATTGAACCACATTAGAGTAGTCAGAAATTGGAGATTTCCAAATTTTGAGTGTTAACAGATAAGCATTCTACTCTTCTCCATTTGAGGTTTGTGCATTTGCCACTGAATAAATCTGTCCAACAGTATTCAGAAAAAGATAGAGACAAGACCAGAACAGCTTGATATTGTTTTAATTATGGCCGCTGAACACACAGGTGGCCAGCAGGTGAAACTATAGGTGGTCAGACCTGCAAGTTTTCAGTCATAAAGATAGGACTCTTTGCTAGGCATCAAGGGAAACACACCGATTCATTCTAAGTACAGTTTTGGGCTTACACTCAGGGTGACTCATAAGCACATCTTACTTTCAAAACTTCTTTACAATTAGCCTCACTGGGGGCCCCAAAACTCCATGGAGTTTGTTAAATATGGAAATCCATAGGAGTGAATGAGAGAGCAGACAAAAAACATAACAGAAGCTTCAAATGAGCTACTTAGTGAATGGATAGTCTCCCAATATAGTCAGTAATTATCTCTTAGAGGAATAAAGCAGCAATAAAATCCTGAAAACACACACAGCCTGATCTACAAAAGACATGAAATGCAGGTGCAGTAAAAAAAGCATGGGATTTTTACTTTTAATAAAGTGTAAGAAGACAATCGCATCTGTCACCAGAAGGATTAAGCTTTGAAACAGTGTCTTGACATGAGCCTGCCTGCACACACGTAAAAGAATGCCTGGGCCAGGGTGTGCCTTTGGGTGCTAACAGCAAAGGCTGACTTTAACTTGAGCTCTCCTATCATAACTGTCTGCCAAGGCAAGTACATTGTTACTCTGCAGTTAGATGAAAAGGAAAGTTCATCATCAAAGAAGTGCACAATTACAGTTACTTACAACACTCCTCATGATTCTTCGGCATTACTAAACAGAAGCCATGATTCCGTTTCCATGAAAATCCATGAATGGATTCCCTGGGGAAAGATCACATCTAATGTGCAGATGATTTCAGGGATGCATCTAACCAAAGCAGAACGTCCAAGCTTCCTTAACCCAGAAAGCCTACTAAGCTATAATTTTCCTGGTCTTTCCATTTACCACACCCGTCTCACTATCTAACCAAAAGCCAAACGCAACTTTTAAAAAAGGATCCAAAACCAAGCAGTTCCTCATTCCAAACCTTGCTTCTTTGAGGAACACACAGAAGCAGAGCATGTGACTTGCCTTTTTATGCATGCAGCTTCCCAGTAAAACTTTGTCCACTGCAGCCAGGAGATCGCTTCCCCCACAGCAGGACTCTCTCATGCTCACTCATTCCTGATCTTCTCAAACTGGGAGCAAAGCTGACAAACCAAAAAGGCACCAGTGAAGTTTACCTTACAGTATGCAGTAAGGAGAATGGGGAAATATTTTCCAGTTACCGATTTAGCACAATTTGCTGCAGCAATATTTAGTTTTCCTGAAAATAAAGACTGAACCGAATTACTACCTCCATTTATCACACTCTGAACAACTTGTTCCTATAACAATCAATTCCTCATAAATGTTCAGATGAGGATGAGCCAAGCCAGAAAGCAGGAATTTGATTTTAGGCATGACTTTTTGACACTGCCACATTTAAGTTCTATGTAACAAGACCACAAGGTGGAAACATCAGTAAACTGGGAAACACATTTTGCATCAGATCAAAATGTTAGCCCAGTAGCTGGGGTGCTCTGAGAGGGATCTCCTACATCATGAGAGATTACCCTAACCTCGCCATACTGGTGTTTCTAAGGTGCATCAAATTCTCTCTCTAGTTTGGACCAGAAAATGCATTCTGGAGAATGTTCCAGACAAGGGTTTAATGTGACTATAAATTTGTATTTTCTGTTTAAACATACGCCAAGAATTCCATGCTAGCTACAGGGCTTATTACTTCTTTCTTCCATCTGCTATAGCTATGACCAAAATAAATATTTACAGAAAGGAGTAAGCAAAGACTGCTGGTTCAAAGGAAAAGATAGGTTACAAAATTAAGAATAGTTTCTTGAACTCTAGAGTAACTTGGTAGCAGAAGAGACTCATGTAAGCAATCAATGTAGTGTCCCTGTGAAAATATTGACAATTACATGCTAACTCTAGAGAAGCTCTGCAAAATGCACATGGGTGCACCTGTTAACCTTTCCAGCAACATAATGCTGGGCTGTTGGGGCACCAATGCACGCCGACAATGAAACCACTTGACTTCCAAGGAGCTGGAGTAGTTTTCCAGTCACTGCAGAATACAAATACCCAAGTTCTGTGTTCTACTTTTAACTTGCAAATTGTACTTTTATCAAAAATCCACCACCACCAAGACCGAGTTTCAGAGACTGCAAAATTTCCTGATGAGAGTGCTCGTTGCAAAAAAGTGTGGTAAGCATGCCCACACTCTCCTCCATGAATATTTTAAGTGTTCATATATGAGCACTAAAAAATAAATTAAAAAAAAAAAAAAAGAGGAGAAACACACTAAAAAGTATACTTACATTTCCCTTCCTCCCACTCCTTTTAGCAGTGGACAGACAGCAGGAGAGCACTAGCAGCTCCTGCCCAAGTAACTTCATCAATCCAAACCTGATCAATCTTCCAGAAGACAGTACCAAGAGGAACAAAAATGAGCCACCATCTGTGGCGTCTTCTGGGTGGCAGCACAACTACGATTTTGTGAGTGAGCTGACACGCATGTCAGAGATGAGAGATGCACGATGCTTTAACAGAGAAACTTTTGTATCACTCTAAATTTATTTTTGATAATCTATTTGAAAGAAAAATTGATGCCAGGAGCAGCAAGCTGCTTTTTTGTGTAGAATGCTAACAACTTATCTTGACAGTTGCTGCATGGCACACTCTCATGGCTGTCATTGTATCTTCATGGTGTGACACAAGCTAACCCTCCCTGAAACTACAATTCACTACTGGCAAGCAGTACCTGAAGGTAATTCAAAGCTCTTACATGCCCTGGTACACTGAAGAGATCAAAGAACCACCCTGAATGCACACAATGAGGGAAGATGCTAACAAAAGCCTCTATGTACTCAAGTAGTCCAGAATATTGTTTTGGAGATGTGTTCATTGATTTTCTGAGGTAAAAGCTTACTGTGGTGGAAGTGATAATGGTGAAGAAAAGTCACTTGATACACAAGCTCCAGCTTTCCCTTCAGCAGACAGATCCAATTGATTAATTGCTAGAGTGTTGTCAAATATCCGACACATCAGACCCAAACGGCGCAGTGCATTTGCACATTCTATGCAGCAGTCAATCCAAGTCTTAAAAGTAAAGTTACAGCTTTCAGTGTTGTAAGGTTTCCAAACAGGCACATTGTGCACGTTATTCATCGACATCTGCCCTTTAGATGAGGAGCTGCGAGCTTTCACCTGAAACTCAGCGGCAGCATCTCAGTTCTCCAGTTAAACTATTGAGTTACTGGCTGTTTCTGCAGACAGCCAAAAGAGTGAGAAAAGATGAGAAAGAAGCTGCAATTAGCAATGAGGAAAACTCAAAATAGACAGATTGGGAGAGAAAGAAAGCCTGGTAAAGGAAAACTGTGACAGGAAAGAAGATGCCAGAGAGCATGAGAGGAAATGAACACCAGAGAGAGCAGAGGATGCGCAGCCTCAGCTCAACACGAGATGCCCAGGAACAATGCAACCAAAAGCTGAGCCACATGCCACATTCACCTGCTCACCATGCCCCACAGCTGCTAGGACCAGGCTTTTCATGCCAGAGGGTCCCAGGGCCTGCCAGAGCCCCCTCCCCACACACCCCTCCACACACTCCCCTCACAAACCACCCTGAAGTGAGGCCCCCCCCCTCCTCCTTCCCCTGAGGGGTGGAGGCAACTTCGTGTAGCCCAAAAACACATTTATCACCTCAGCAGGACAAAAGCCCCCACAGCCCCTGTGAGAAGGCACACACCAACCCACACAACGCGCATTTCAGCACTCCTGACCTGGTTCATAGTCTCCACAGCCCATCAGCCGCTTTATGTGACGGAAAATGGATAAAAATTGAAGAAACTTGTTGCTTTCCTCCTCAGGCTGCCGCTGATCCTTCCACAGCTCACTGAGGGCTGCTGGGCAGTGCCCAGGTGCCCCCCTTCCGTCACCTGCCCCGGCCACAGCTGCCTCCTCTCAGCGCAGCTGGCGCCCCTCAGGGCATTCTAGAAAATTCCGCGCAGCCCCCTCAGCCCTCCTGGGCTGGCTGCTCCACAGAGGGCCTGTGAAGGAGTTTCAAGTGGGCACAGAGGTTATCAGGGCTCAGGGGCAAAATAAAAGATGCTGTTCTGGTCTCTGGAGCCACAGGTGTCACCAGGATCTGCTGATAATACTCCAGCAGAAAATAACTTGATCTGAATGTGGGCCAGGTGTTGCTTGGTTTAAAATGTCCTTTCTTTGTTAACTACCTGCACAAAACACCTGCTCGGAGTCAGGGCTTGCTGAAGGGATGTCTCCACTGTGGGTTCTCCCTTCAAAGGAAAAATAAAAGTTTTTGAAAAGTAGGGCAAAGGCTGGTAAATTGTCATAAAGTTATTTGTACAAGAAAAATCAAGAGGACTGCCTCTGTAAATGGAGAGCTTCTGTAAGCAAAAAGAAAACATGTTTTGCTCCCCAATTTGATTACGAGCTGGAGGCACCACCTCATTGCAGTGATCTGCAAGGAGAATGTTGTACAAGTAGGAAACAGCAAAAGCTGCCTTGCTGCTGTCTGACATCAGAAATGTGTCTGACCTGTCGTGTATTTATACATCTGCACCTTACGGCTTCTTCTGTCTGTCCATGACTTCGTCAGCAAAAGGTGTTCAGGGTTTACCTGATATGAAGTAGCCAGACAGAAGGTATTAGCCAAGAAATGGATTTTTACATTCCACCATCAAACTGAAGTAGTCAATAAATACAGTGGGATGCAACTGCATTAATCACACAAAGCTTCATGTGTATATTACTGTTGTAAAGGTACCAAGTGTAGCCTTCTTACAGTGGGGTTTTAGTCCCATTTTGGTTTCTTCCTTGCCTCTTTATTTTGTCCTGCACCACTTAGTCCTACCCCTGTGTAGAATAGAGCCAGCTGCCAAGGTGCCTGTATCTTCTTTAGGAGCTGCTGTTGTTCAGCACAAATGGGCCACACACACCACCAAACACGGATCCCAGCCTAGCAAATTCAAATCACTCACAGGGTGGAAGGGTCACACATCAACTCTGTTTCTTCTAGGAATAACTCTTAGCAACACAAAACTTAGTGAATATACTTTTGGAGGGAACATGGAGAATTCAATAATAATAACAATTTAAAAAAAAGGCAGAAAATCCAAACTAGGTTTAAGGTGTTTTTTTTTGTTGTTGTTGTTATAGTTCTGTTTGTATTTTTCCCTCAATTGCATCGCAGCTGAGAAAGTTTGCTTTTAAACTAGATAAAGCAATGCCCTCTAGTGTTCTGCAGAGAAATCTGGAACAAGGTTACCCAGAGCCTTCTAAATCTCAAGGTTGGGACTGCTGTACTGTCTCAGTCACAGCCAAAGTTTTGAGAGCTTACAGCTGATGCACAACACGTGTAAAATTTCTGCATGCAAGTATGGCCTACAGAATTGTTTGGGATCCTTTTTTTCCCTCTGTTCCTGCTGCTTGCAGCAGAACTCTATGCCAGAAGATGGAAGTATATTCTGGGCATATATTAATTGCTTGAGAAGCATCTGGGAACAAAGGGGACTTTTCAGAAAGAGACAAAAGCCTGATCCATTCCTTCCCAGATTTCACAAAACAAATGAAATTTACCTCCTCTCTTACCACCTACAGATATCGTCTGTGGATAGTTTTTTTTACTGCATTCCCAGCTGTGGCACATGACAAGTCACACAATACTCACCCTGCACCTTTGCCATGTATATACACAGCATTTGATACCCTGTATTACTGGCCCACCATACCTCACAGCACGTGGATTCCCAATATATCGATAAATTCCACACAGAACTATCCAAAGACAAGAAAGATTTAAATAAAGAAGAGAGCATTCTCATTGTTAAAAAAAAAAAAAAAAAAAAAAAAAACTAGTTATCAAAACATTTATTTACACTCTGTATACATTTAAAAACTCAATTTTGTATTACACAAGAGATTTTTGTAGGTCATAAAAGCAAAAGATGAAGTCCTTGATGAAGGCAGTTCTTAAATGGCCAGCTAGGAGTTCTTAACTTTTACCATGCATTCATTGTTCTTGAAAGACAACTGCTGGGACTCTCACCATCTAGACAGAATAGAAACTTGAATGCCTTTCATTAAACTTTTACTTTCATCAAGTACTTTTAAAATAATTAGCAACAAGGAAAATGACTGTTGACCACTTTCTGCTTTTGTAGTTTCCCCCAGCTGCAGATCAAAAATTGCAATAGGAAAAAATAAAAAGAAAGATCAAAATGAAACATCGGTTCCACCTATGTCCTATCTGAAATAAGAGGACAAAAAAGGTGAGACGGTATCTTCTGGAAACTTAGGGGGTGCTGGTAGACTTAGAAAACTTTTTGACAGGTAGAAAGGATCTTATGTCTCTCGGCTAGGCATCACCCTGCACCTCCCAGAGGTATTTGTTCATAAGAACAAAGCAGAAGAAATAACTTTATCAAGTTTTATTCATAAAAATTATTGAAACAGAAGTCTGCCAGACTGACTGTAGTTCTACAAAAACTATTGGATACAAATTAAACATCCACTTCAGTGAGACTACACTTAGGGTAAATGCTGGGCTTGACCTGGCATTTGTGATGAACACTTTAGGACGCTACCTTTGTAGCTCATGTGTTGGCAGCTGCAAAATAGAATTTGGATGTAGAAGTGGGAATCAAATAAGAGATTTTTAAAATGAGGTCGAAACTTTGGAATACTACTTGAAAATTTAAATTACATTCCCTTCTTCTCAGAAGACAATCAATACATGTTCTACTTAAACAAGCAGATACGTTTTTTTCTCTAAGGGGGAGTAGTTTCTGACAAGCATTCTCACTGCAAATAAATTATTTATCTTGTTATATATGTAAACAAATAAGGGAGAAAATAAAGCAGTTTAGATACTATCCAAAAGACAGACAAGGTAAGATGTCAACTGCATTAGGAGCTATTGTTTCTTAGAGATCCGGCATCTGTGACTGGTCAGACTATGATCCTATATATGGAAAAAACATATGTGAAAAGATAAAAAAAAAAAAAAAAAAGTTCACAGGATCAGCTTCTTCCCTGCTGCGCTGTCATTTTATTTGCAGGGACAGTAGGGGAAAGGGACCGTTCAAAACTCAGGATAAAAAAAAAAAGGGAAAGATCTCGGGAAGACAGACATCGTCATGAGAATTCACAATCTCCGGCCTGAATGAACAAAATGGCTTTTTCAGTTCTTTCAGTTTATTCAACAGTCCAGTGCCTCTTAGACACATTTCTGCTTCCTCCAGGAAGAAGTAGAACAACCTGAAAGAGAATGCAGGAAAATGCCCCAGCATTCATAATGGAGAGGCCACACACACATTGACATATCTTGAGGTTTGTATTGTACTGCAGGGCTGGGAGCATTCTACCAGTGCTTCACTTTGCTGAGAGTGTCCAAGCAAGACACTGTAACTGTTTAAGATGTACGTAGTCTCATCAGTGAAGCATAAACTGAGCTCTTCTATTCTTCTCTTTAGCCCTCCACTTCCACAAGTGTTTTGCTATGAGACTAGCACTGGTGTGTTCTCCTTGTTTTCTTTCTGTATCACCGTTTGCAGGTACTTCAGTCGCATAGGAGGGAGTTGCTCATAAAGGTCAAATCCCAAAGGGCTCTCGGCATTCAGCAGTCTGTAGTAGAGAAGGTGCTTTTTCAGGGTCTGAAGAAAGAAATTGCAATTATTAAGCATGTCTTAAAAGTAAGAATCTAATCATTCCTATCTCCAACACAAGATAGCAACCTGCCAGACAATACAACTCCACCAAGCCCAACATATTTAACTGCACCATCTTCAATAGAAGAGCTGTAAAAGGTGAGTTTCTTCCAAGAAACTCTCTTGATTTGCATGAGTGTTCCACTTCTGAACAAAAGTCCACTGTCTCCTCAACAACCCTTCTCAATGATCTCTTGCCAGATGCCAAAATGGGGTTTTGAGAGGGAACTAAGAATTTACCCTAGACACTAAACATAAAGGGCCAAATGACTCAGCTCTGTTACAGAAGTGATAGACTTTGGCAAGATCTGTTATGATAAGGCAGGACGGAAAGCAGAAAAACAGACACCTCACATTTGTTTTGTTCTTTTGTGAGGAAAGCATCCAACTAAGAGTTAAGGGAGGTCCCTGCTGGCTGCCTGTTCACAGCTGTGCTACAACCACCCCTCACTATCCAGATAAAATACTGCTCTAGCAAGAGGCTCAGAAATACAGTACAGGAGATTCATCTGTGTTCCAGTGGACTCAGTGCATTGAGTTCAGTTAAAGCAAGAACTAGATAATACTCCTTATAGACACTGCATGTTAAAATCCTTCTGCTAATCTCTCATTCTCAAGTTAGCAATGTAGACAAAAGCAAATTTCAGACTTCAAACACAAATTTAAGTCTGTAATAAGTACCATGCCTGAAAACCTCAAGCCCCAGCACCACACGCTGATCCTTACGGACCCTACCTCATCCACCAAGAGCCAAGTCTTTCGCAGCATGCTTTTCCGAGCAGCATCAGCCTCCTAAGAACAAAACACATACTTAAATTAATACAGTACAACACTAGCTTTGCCCACAGGCCATGCAGCACTCTAGAAGGATGCTCTGCTTATTATGATGATGGTCCAAAGAGCAGCTTGTTCCATCAGAAAAGCCTTGAGGTGGCAATCACTTGGATCCCTCTCCTTTTCCTCCTTCCCCTGACCTGAAGCCCATCTGACATGTATTGATAGAATAAGTGGTAATGGCTTTAAACTGATAGAGGGTAGATATAGATTAGATATAAGGAACAAATTCTTCACTCAAAGGGTGGTGAGGCACTGAAGCAGGATGCCCTATCCCTTGAAGTGATCAAGGCCAGGTTGGCTGGGACTTCCCTGCCCACAGCAGGGGGTTTGGAACTGGATGATCTTTAAAGTCCCTTCCTAACCAAACCCTTCTATGATTCTATGACACCTTAAGATTGCCCGAAAAGAGGCTAAGTCTATTACAGGCTATGGAGCTAATCAGCTCCATCATTTGTGCTTCATTCTTTCCTTCTGTACGATAGCCCACAGTTGTAGACTTTAAAGGTTTATATAGGATTGGCTGCCATTAGTACAAGTTTCTTATTTTATAATGACTAATGGTTATCATCTGCTCTCTCCTATGTGGATTCCAACCTTCAGACCTCAAACAGCTGCACAGTCCTCAACATGTGCTTACAATCTTTGTTTTCAAGCTCTGGGTCAGTGATTCA